AAATAGTTTGCTCCCTTTCATTTGAACGTCATATCGCCTCCCAAAATCTTTGCTTGTAATTAATCACAGGATTCTCCTGCAGCCTCTGCATCTTCTCCCGGTAGATCCTTTGGTTGTTTATTGTCTTTTTTATTACGAATTTGTCGAACATTGAAAAATCTTCACCACTCCCTCTTTGTGCAGAGAAACAAATATCATGTTGAGTCCGCATCGCAAGTGATGGAAGAAAACATTTTGCCATAAATGACCATTGCGTAGCTTATATAATTTCGGCGGTGAACTTAAGTTGTTCAATTTTTTGTTCTATGTATGTCCAAAAGTATTTTTCTAGATGTAATCTTCTCTGATTCAGTTTCTGACTTCAGTATATTGGAATTGTGAACGTACCCATATTATTATCTTTTTTATAAGACCCATATTACCCATTGACCTCTAATTTTGCTATCGACTTGCTTCATCTGGGAGCAAACGGCATTTGACTAATACTTACTCGAATTAGACAAGGCGATCGTACTCGAAGGATTCGGGCACGATGGCTTCAGAATTTCGAATATAGGACTAGTCTCGTTATTTTTCAATGCGGTTTTATTCTTACTAGCTATCTATCTTTCGAGCATCCTTCCCGCGACACCTCTCCCTATCAACAAATCCTAGTCTCAGATTTCCTCGGTCTCATGCTTAACGCCAGAAGAATATACGAGTTGTTGTTACAAGAATAATTACAGTTTTAGAGGGCAAATAGAGATATTACTAATATTTAAAATAAATTTAAAAGATTAAATTTTAACTCATAAAGGAAGTAGCAGTTTTACTGCCTACAATTTGTACAGGAAAAAAACTTGATATTATTATCTTTAACTTTTCAAAAACAGAAATAGTTGCGGGACTGAGGGCTTACTTTAAAACGCTGTCTACTCAACAATGTCTCATGTGGAATAATGGCCGAGATATGTTATGAGTAGCAATTTCATTCATCACACAGTTGGCTATGACTGTTTTTCCGGTGGTCTATGATCGCTTGCTACTCGTTCTCTTCTCGCGGCTCATTTGCGAGTCTCGCAAGCCCGCTGCTCGAACATTTCGCTCGAAAGAATGTGCGAAACGCAAGTGCTTGCCTTATAGGTTTTGTGACTATCAAACTTTACTCGACCTCTTGTAATCTGAAAAAAATCGAAATGAAGACACACAAAAGAAATCGGGTTCGAAAATAAATTTCTTAGACAAAACTCAAACGTGAGATGTCTCTTCTATACTCATATAGATAACTGGTTCAGCAAAGTGTAAAATAACAAAAATTTATTATGACCAGATCTGTACACGAATATAAAGTCATTTGTAAGGAAGAGCCACAAGAAGAGAGATACACGTATTAATTAAAAGAGCGAACAAGCCAGCCAGCACGTTGGGATTGTTGATGCGCACCGTATTAATTATGGATGAGGTGATAATGACACAAGCAACACGTAATTGAAATCAAATAAACGGACACAAAAAATTCATAGAAAGGTCTCCTTGACCGATTTACCGAATGTGGAGGAGAAGAGCGTTAGATGACGCGGGCAGCTAGTCGTCGACGAGGTCATCGTGTCGTCAGTGTCCGATGGATCAAAAGCTTCTGCACGACGGCATTCTGCGCACGAAGTCGATTTCGTAAAAGTGGATGCTGTTGATGTGTTGAGCAGTGTTGTGAGCGATTTTCGCATTGATGTGATTCGTGGCTGAGGGAGCAGTGGACGCTGCTCGTTTGAAGCATCTTCGTCGCTGGCCTCCTCGGTTGTCGCCCGGGAGTCGCGCATACTTGCAGTAGCGATACTTCCCAGCTGCATGTTTGGCAAGGATGTCTGCAAAGAGGAAATGAATTATTACGAATGATGCTAGGAAATTCATTTGGACCCGCTGTAGAACTTCATAGGTGACGTGATAGAACAGGAAACGAAATTTCTGCTGATGCACTGCTGTTACATTAGCATAATACGCACTAAGGCAGGTGAATGATTATTATAGGAAGAGAAATCTTCCTTGCAAAGAAGTGTACTCGCTTCAGGTTGGGAGGTCTTCGGTTTGGTCCGAATATCCTCTTGCAAATCCATGAAACGAAACTACGAAACTACGTAAAAAAAGGACAAATATGCAGTATTTGGTTGTCCTCATTAAGGAAATGATTTAGGCCTCTAACAAGGAAAGAAAGAAAGTTTCGATCTGGTCATGCTATTAGAGTCAATAAGTACGTGAGAAGTGCTCGATGAAAGGAAAGCACACTTATGGCGAAGAAAAAAATGTTCGCTAATCAGACTTTAAGTCTCTCGCACGTCTTCGTCTTAAATCGCAAAAAAGGCGAATTTGTCTTCGTAAGTTTTAATATACACTTTTCGAACTCATTTTGCGTATCTGCATCCCAAATTAGGTGACCGTTCATCGGTTATCGCTTAGAAAAACTGTTTCGAACTGGTTA